TGATCTTTGGGTTACATCATATTTAACAATCGTCTAATATATTTCGGTTACATTATAATTAAAAAATTTAAATTTTTACTACATCTAAATTCTTAAATTAGGAATTTCTTTATCCATAATAATTTATTTAACAATAATGATTGAACTAAATAAACACTGAGCAAAACACCTAAAGGACTGGTACCGTTGATTCATTCATTGATCTTATATATATGTGCATTCATTAAATATATTAGAACCCTTTGCAACAAAAATACTTGGTTACTATTTAAAAAAAGTTTAGTAAAAATTATAATGAATCTCCTATATTAATTACATTGTATTCATATACTATGAATTACATATTTAAATAAACAAATTAGACATTAAATTACTTATGTTGAACTTCTCATATATAATCTTGCATTTATATACTTTCAAATATTTATTTAATTATAAACATTGGGTAGAAAAAATGACCGTCAAATTATTAAATCAAATGAATAGTTTAGATTGTTCAGATTTTAATTTTTAATATTGGGTAAAAAAAATGACCATTAGTCTAAATCTAATATTAAAATCTAATATAGAATTATAAGTACAACATTAATCTAATTATAATATTAAAGTCTTAATAGAACTCAAACTACAAATTCTACTGCCGGAATCTCCTCAAACAATATTAGTATATATTTAATATTTTATGCTTTAATTTTTATTTGCTCTCCCTTATGTCCCGTATTTGGTTTCAACCATACCCATACAATTATTTTATTGACAATTATAATCAATCTTGACTATATTATCTTGCATATGTAAACTTAAATACCAATTTAAATACGCAAATTCAACATTCAATTATCTATGCATGGACAATTCTAATATAATCTTGCATTGATATACTTTAAAATACTTATTTAAGAAAAACATTGGGCATTATCTCAATCGCGCAATGCGCGTAAAAAACTAGTTATTATTATAATTTTCATTGATTTGAGTCATTGTTCAACGGCTCAGATAAAAACGCATATTTACACCTAAACAAGTTTCCGCACCAGAACTCATCTATATATCACCTAGGCATGAACAATAATGCATGGAAGCGTGCTTGTTGAAATGGTTGATTGCACATATGGTGCATTCAAAGTATAGATGTGACTGCATGAAACATTTGACACATCTTACATCAACAAATACAAAAATAGGAAATAAGTGATTAGTATATATACGCTTATTGAAAGGAAGGGTTGCTATCAAAACAAATCATATACACTTCGGTTCGAATAAACCAGGTGAATCTAATAGCATGTTTAATTCATAAAATAGATTACCATTGGAATAGTATTCCCAAAAATAGATTTATCCAATTGTTTATTAAGTTATTTTATTCTTAGAAATAGTATTTCCGAGTATGATCTATTCATCTTGCAAAAAAAAAATAGTCCGAAAAGACCTTGATATTAGCATTTTCAGAAATAGTCTATATTTAGTAATACATAATTTATCCTTATCTAGTTTTGTTAAATATTATAAATGTATTCTATAATAAATATAGGGTTTAATTTATTTTTGTTAATACCTAATCTCTTTTTTAATTATTAGCTTATTTTTGTTATATACTATAATAATAATAATAATAATAATAATAATAATAATAATAATAATAATATTATTATTATTATTATTATTATTATTATTATTATTATTATTATTATTATTATTATTATTATTATTATTAAAAATATTCTTTTTGTTATGATTTATACAACAATGTGTGGATCATAAATTTGCCACATACAAATAGACAAACATCATAAAAATGGCAATCATTATTGTGTGGACCATGGTCCATACAAGTTGTGTGGATCATATTTTGTATATTGTAAAATAATGTACATTCAATACAAAAATAATGTACATTCAGTACAAAAATAATGTACATTATATTCAGGGGATGTACATTATTTTTGTACTGAGTGTACATTATATTGTATAATATACACTCAGTACAAAAATAATGAACATTCAGTATAAAAATAATGTACTTTTTGTTATGGTCCACACAACACTGTGTGGACCATGGTCCATATAATAATTTGCCTAAAAATGGGTTCACCACACGTGGAGGGCTGACTATCAAATTAAATGAGAAGATGTCCCACTCGTTTTGATAGTGGTCCATTTTTAATGATTGATTTGGACTATTCGTTTTTTTTTGTCTATTTTTCATTGCAATGTGGGGAATGGCCTCTTTGTAGACATTTTAAAGGAAATTGGGCTTCCTATGCAATTTGCCAAACTTGTAGGGCCTAAGGGACAATGCTTTTAATTTCTCTCTTGTCCTTTTGATATGTTTATGCCTTATGGCATTGGTTAATCTAATGGCCCTAATTAGGCAAATCAGTCTTTCTAGTTGATTATGTGTTTTTTTAGATAAGCTATAATGATATTTGGTAATGTTTTAGATTATTGAAAATAATTAACAATTATAATTAATATCATTTTTAATATATACATCATTTGAGTTGAGTCAATACGATTAAATTCTATCTCTGAGAGGATTCTCTCAATATCTATTTTTATAATTACAAGGCTCGAATTTGAAATCTTGTTTAAAGGAAATCAAATTTGAAAACTTTTACCAGAATAATATTTAATTATTATAAAGCAAGTCTCATAAATTGTTAAATGGACTAAACTCAATAGAAAGTGTCTAAAATATCATATCCTTGTAGACATTTCACCAAATTTCATCTTTCCATATGTAACAGCAATTCATGAATCTTAATATTAAATTTATCAAATATATATGCAATCATCACAATAATTTGATTAAATTAAATAAACTTTATAGTGCATTTATACATATCTAATAGTGAGTGGCTGCATGACCGCACAGGAACCTAACGCTATATATATATATATATATATATATATATATAATAAGTTTGAATATAATAGACTTAATAAAAAAGCAACTTTTAAGCAACCCTACAAATTAAAAGTATCCAAAGCGTTACATGACAAGGGATTTTTGGACCATTGAATTCCTAGCTAAGCATACAATTGGTGGGACTTCTTTATTTACTTAAATACTTCAAAATATCCCAACTACTTCTTACATTTTCTTTTCTTAAACTTTTTTTTGAAGTATTTTTAACATGGGATACTATATTTTTTTTTTGAATGCTACTAGCTCTATTACATTGTAGTATCTGTTCATATACTTTCTCAACCTACTGAAACACAAAGAGCTAATAACGCCTCCACTGAGGCTCGAACTTACAACCTTCCAAATGGAAGTCCAACCCGGGTACCATTGGACCACATAGTCCTGGTCATGGGATACTATATAAGTTAACAGTTTTTAAAACAAATTTAGGCTCTACACACAAATAAAAATAGTAAAATTAAATATAGAAGTGAATAAAAATGGAAAAATATTAGTTCCTCCGTACAATTTTATATGTATATTTATTATTCTTTGACCAACTCTTCAATCCCTTCTTTGGTATTATTTTAAAATTTAATTTGTTGTATTTTTAATAGTATTTTTAATTTAATTTCTAAATATATAAATTTTATTTACTAACGGTAAATTAAATATTATAAAAAATTAAATTGTAAATAATTATAGTCAAGTCTCAATAATATAATCAGACATATATAATGAAATAATAAGAATAACTTACAAAAAAAAAAATGGGATTTAGCCAAGCCAAACCCCACAACTATTATACCTGGACTAGGTCAACCTTGCAAGGTAGACCCTGATCCTAAATTGTGTATTTTTAGTATTGGAATTATGAATATCTGGAATATAATTTGTGTTTTTAAGTTATGAGAATTTGTAAATACAATACAATGTACGATTATCACAAATTGTGAATTTTAAAAGATAAATTATGAATATTTAGTATGTAAATTGTGTATCTTTCGATCAGGGTTTACAAAATAATTTGCCCACAACTATGGATTGGTATTTTACCGCAAATTATGCTGTGCATCTGTATGCACCATGCATGGTGCATACAGATGTACACGACGTCGTTTTAGCCTAATGACGCAGTGTTTTATAAAAATAAAAAAAATAAAAAAATAAGTAATTTCCATAATTGTATAACAACAATTCCAGAATTTGAAAACAATAATTCCATAATTTCATAACTATATTTCCAGAATTGCATGTCTATATATTCAGAATTAGTGGGGTACTCTGTTTTGGCAGTTTGTTGCGACTGTGTATCCAGAACTGTATAACTATATTTCCATAATCATATAACTATATATACAGAATCTGTAGGCACTCTGTTTTTGCTGTTTGATGAACTGTTTGAAGTAATGTTCACCATGTCTATATTATGTAGTTAGTGAAGGCATTGTGGATGGTTCAGTGAGTTCAGATCAAGTAGATGTAGATGTTGATGGATCTTCATCAATTCCAGGTTTATTCATAGCGGTTTACCTTTTAATTAGCAAATTATGGTTAGGAATTATATGTTAATGGAAATGGTTATTATTGTGTTATATTTCCAGTTGATCAAGATTTGGTTGGTTTGGTAGTAAGTAATGTTGATGAGGCTTTTGAGGTGTATAACAGTTATGCATATAGACTTGGTTTTAGTGTGAGGAAGGGTCATCAACGATACAAGGGATCTACGAACACAATTCAAATGAATAAATTTTGTTGTTCTAAGGCTGGTTATAAGGCAAACAGTGGGGTTAAGGCTTATTCCAAAATTGACACAAGGACAGGGTGTGGAGCGTTTGTTCAATTTGACGTGGGTGATGATGGGTTGTGGACAGTTACAAAACATGAGAAAGTACACAATCACGAGTTATGTGTGTTCAACAAGAGTCATCTACTTCGTTCACATAGGAGTGTCGGAGATAATCAGCTCTTATATTTACAAGGTTTGAAGGACAGTGGTGTTGCATTGGCAGATGGTATTAGGTTCCTAAAACACCAATCAGGGGGGTCCCCTTGAGTTGGTTTCACCAGTAGAGATGCTTATAATTCAATGGCTGCGGATACTGTCAAGCGATTGGATGGAACGGATTCTAACTCTTTAATTGAAATTTTTAGGAGGAGGCAGTCTACCGAGACTGATTTTTTCTTTGATTTTGAACTTGATTTGGATGCAAGGTTGTGCAGTTTTTTTTGGAGGGATGGTCAAATGAGACGAGATTACGAGGTGTTTGGGGACTTGTTAGTGCATGATACGACATATCGCACAAACAAATACGATATGATTTGTGGCCCTTTCGTAGGGATGAATCACCATTGCATGAATGTAATGTTTGGATGCGGGTTTTTGATGAACGAGAGGATAGAATCGTTTGTGTGGTTGTTTAAAGCGTTTTCAAGATCGATGGGTGGCAAGTCTCCACAGACTATTATGACAGATCAATGTGCAGCTATGACTGCTGCTATATCTAAAGTGTTTCCAACATCACGTCATCGTCTTTGCATATGGCATATTGGTGAGAATTCAAAGAAGCATATCAAGACGTTAAGGAACAATAAGGATTTCTTGGATATGTTTAACTACGTGTTGAAATACACAGAGACCGAAGCTGAATTTCAATTCTATTGGACAAGGTATGTTAGTAATTAGTCGTTTTTATTGGATTACGTTTCATATGCATATGAATTATGGATGTATAGTATAGTAATTATGGATGTATAGCAGGTGAACTGACTGGTGGTCACTGGAAATGTAGTTTATGGATTATGGATGTATAGTGCATCAATTATGGATATATAGTATTTCGATTATGGATATATAGCAGTTGAACTTTACTGGTGGTGCCTGGAAATATAGTATTCCGATTATGGATATATAGTATTCCGATTATGGATATATAGTATATCGATTATGGATATATAGCAGTTGAACTTACTGGTGGTGTCTGGAAATGTAGTAGTATGGATTATGGATATATAGTCTATCAATTATGGGCATATAGTATTCCAATTATGTATATACAGCAGTAAAAATTCTGAGTATGTGTTAGATGTGGTGATGCTGCTTGTTAATATTCTGCTTCATAAACATTTGGGATTTTGTCTTACCATTTTCATGTTGGTGACTGACTATAAATGTCACAAGAATACTTGGTTAGAAAAGCTATATGACTGTAGGGAGAAGTGGTGTCCAGCATTTAACAAGGACTATTTTTCTGGGGGCATTCTATCATCACAAAGGAGTGAAACTACAAATCATTCGATTTCTAGAAGGTTGTCCAAGACAGGGGGTCTTTGTGATTTCTATTCATCGTTTGTAAGCGTAATTTCTGAATGGAGAAGTAAAGAGAACGGTGAAAACTTTCGGTGTGCTCAAGGGGTACCCGCTATGATGATGGAGCATGTGAAACTTCTTTCACATGCTAGAGAGGTATACACGATTGAGATATATTTTCTGTTTGAAGAACAATTCATGAAAGGCAGTGCCTGTCATCAAGAGATGGTGGTGAATGATGGCCATCAACAGAAATATCACGTGTGGCGGCCAGATATAGATATTATAAGGCATGAGGTTTTAACCCAGCTAACTTGGACATTTCTTGTAGTTGCAAGTTGATTTCTGAGTTGGGAATTCTATGTTGTCATTGTCTACGCATTCTTCATGTACATTGTGTTTCTAGTATCCCCGACAAATATATCCTTAAAAGATGGACTAAAAAGGTTATTGATGGTAGGAATGTCAACATTGATTCTATGGTTTATAATGTTGGTGTCCCTCCATCAATTTGGGTGTTCGATATTAGTAGGAAATTTCAAAGATTAGTTGTGTCTAGTCAAGATAGTAGCGTAGCTAGGAAATTGTGTGACGAAGCTGTTGATGATGTAAAGAAAAAGGTTGAAGCCGAGGTTGGGCATGTGCATATTAAAGAGTGTGGTGTTTCATCTTCAAGTGGTGGTGTTCAAAATCCTTCAAGCCGGAGATTGAAAGGTGAGCGTAACAAAAGGAGGAGTGGTGTTATTGAAAAGAAGTATAGTCTTGCAAGGGGGAGAAGGAGTGCTGCAAATAAAGCTGCATTGAGTACAAAGGGTGCTGTTCAGTCTTTGGTGTTGGAAAACATATCCAAGCTTGCTGGGGATGGATACCTTGTACATCCAAGTTCTTCGAGTTCAGATTTTGTTCAGTTTAGTAAGGGTTTAGATGACAATGTAGGTGTAGATTGAGAAATACAAGTTGTTATCATTGTTTTATGCAATTATGGACTTTTAGTTTTGTAATTCTGGATATGTAGTTTTGCAATTATGGAACTATAGTTATGAAATTATGGAATTATAGTTATGCAATTATGAAATTGTAGTCATGCAATTATGAAAGGTATGCAATTATGAAATTATAGTCATGCAATTATGAAAATATAGTTATGCATTTATGCATGTGTAGTTCCCATTGTGATGGAATTTGTAGTTACGAAATTGTGGTGTATAGTTATGCAAGTATGGATGTATAGTTTTGCAATTATGGTATTATTGTTACGAAATTATGGAACTATAGTTATGCAATTATGGAATTGTTTATATGCAATTATGGAATTATAGTTATGAAATTATAGAATTATAGTTATGCAATTTTGGAACTATAGTTATGCAATTATGGATTTATAGTAGTCATGCAATTATAGATTTGATACTTGAAAACAAAACAAAAAAAAAAAGAAAAAAAAAAGAGAAAGAGGTGCATAGATCAGATGTAAATTGTTATTCAGCTATTAACATCATGCATTCACAAAATACAAGTCACATTGTCAGTGTAGTTCACAAAAACTTTCACATTGTTTAGAATTTAGTCAACATGTTGAAGAATATTCATTCAATTCTTCTTCGAAACACTTTTGGCCGCTTGTAGAACCTCCCCCCTGACTGCATTCATTCTCCACTTTATGAGGTTGGCAGCATATTTCGCTCGCAGTTCGCACATGAAGTTTGCCTATAAACAAAGAACATTAAGTAATTAGTCATTTGCAGTTTTATTTTTTTTTAAATGTATTTTGAAACTATAATATGTATTGTAGTCTAACATTCAAGCGCATATTCTTCTTGAATCTTGGCTGCCAGTCTTGTAGAGTCCCTCGGAATGTCTCCATATGCCAGAGTACATAGATTCCGCAATCAGTGACATTTTCAGTGTTTGCCCAGTCCAACTTAAGGTATTTTATATCACTTTTTGAAATTTCACATACAAGGTGTGGCACTCGGCCTTAAGGTAACCACTGAATGCTTCAATATAGTCAGAAAAGTTAGTTTAGTGTTGATAATGCTTTTAAGTCAATAGATAGGTAATGGTAAGAATGTCAAGTTTTTTTATCAAAATTACCAATAAGTGTGGGCAGTTGCCATATTTGTCCTTCTCTGAAACATCAGCTGGTAACTCCTTGTTGTCAATGACCTGTACTTTATGTTCTTTCACATTGAAGCAGACCAAGAAGTAGTGACCATGGCGATGAACTGCGAAAAATATCTAATTCCAATTCAAAGTTAAAGCAATGTTAGTATTTTTTTGGACATGATAAAGTCAAATTGGACATGGGTAATAGAACTTACCAGATCTGCATCACTGATGTCTAGGTTTCCGAAGCTGGTTATTTCATAGCTCAATCTCTCATTGAAATTCTTCATTTTTATGTCAGTTGGGAGATCCTTCATCCACTGGTCATTGGGATCAATTTGAAGCTGCATACACAAATGCAAGAATGAGTAGTCATAATCCAAATAATATTTGTTGAAAATGTTAAAGTTATACATACAAAGTTATATATATACACTTCCAGAATTGCACAACTATAGTTCCATAATTGCATAACTATAATTCCATAATTTCATAACTATAATTGCATATCTACAATTCCATAATTGCATAACTATAGTTCTATAATTGCATAACTATAATTCCAGAATTACAAAACTATAAAACCAGGGGCTCACAGGTACACATCCAGAACTGAATAACTACATATCCATAATCTAAAAACTATATATTCATAATTTGTGAACACTTACATGTACTAGGGTGGAGAAGTAGACCCGCTTTGTCTTCCCAACCGCACGGGACATGTTTAGCAATGTAAAACATAGGGACCAGACATCTAGAAAGCTGCTCAGTAGCTCACCATTGCACAGAGTTGCAAAATCATCCCTTGACAAGTAGTAATCACCATATTTGAACAATGTCTCTCTACAATACAGTAAATAAATAAATATAAGAACATAAATTAATGAATAAAATTTAAGTAAAATAGGTGGATGGAAACATACCCTCCCGGGTGCTCACTTGAGGCTTCCAAAAATGCGTAGTTTGAAACAACCTTTTCTTTGGGAGTTGCATTATGGATGGAGCCTTTGTTCTTAGTCCAATATGGTGACCTCAAATAAAGTGGGATGTTTCTGAATTTGCGCACAGGTCTCTTTCTCACAGTAACATCCTCAACATCAGATTCACTTTCTTCCATAGCTCTGTTGTCCAGAAAAAACAGAGGCAGTTCATAACCCTACAAGTATAATTCCAGAATTGTATAACTACATTTCTATAATCTATAAACTATATGTCCATAATTTGAGAAATACATATCCATAATTGTAACAATCAATGTCAATAGTTGAATAAGAATATATTCATATTAATCAAACTTAATATTCATAATTATTGATGAATTGAAAACCATATTCATAGTCTAAATCTGCATAAGAAAGCAGTAACCTACTTATCAAATTCATCAATCTCAGCAGCAGCTTGGGCAGCAGGGGTAGTAGGAGTGGTGGATTTTTCGAATGGCACTCTGATTAGTAATGGAGTTGCTTCCTTCTCCGTTGAGGTTGATACTCCTACACTCCTCACAATGTTATCCACCAAGGTGTGCAAAGGCTGCTGTTGAGATGGTGGTGGGGTTGGTGTAGAGCGTCCAAGTAGCTCAAACGATGGGGGTTTTATTTCAATTTCTTTTCTGGTTTTTTCAAAAGCTGCTACCAGAGAATCAACTGCTGATGTGAAGCTTTCACTTCCAAAGAAGATGTCATCCAACTGCGAGGCAGTTGGGCTAGGAGTCGGTTGAATTGTGCTTGCAGCACTCAGCATTGTTGATATTCCTGAAAAAGCCCTCTTCATGATGTAAACCGGGGCCCCTTGCTTGCCAATGTCAGACATGACCTGACCGAACTCAAGGACATCTGCTGTAAGCCGTTGAAGCACGTGTGTTACTCGGTCAACATTAGTCAGAGGCACAGATGGAGTTGGAATAGATGGTGTAGCAACAGGGCTGCACACTGGCCTTGGTATTGCAGCAGGAGGAGGTGCAGGTCGGGGTGATGATGTAGATGCAACGGCAGTAGGTCTCTGAAATCGAGGGATAACTTTGCCCTTACCAAAACCCCATGATTTTATCTCAGCCGATACTCGCCTGCGTACAAGCATTTTTGTCCAAGCTTTGATTGCCGGGAATGTTCGGTTGACAGTCATGCCTCTGAGCTCTACTCGGTCAAAGTAGAAGAGCTTCAAGAATTACAGAAGAGTATGTTAAAGAATTGAATAACTACATATTTAGAATTGTATGGATACACATTCTTATTTGCATAACTATAATTCCATAATTATAAAACTACATATCCAGAATTGCATAACTATAATTCCATAATTGCATGACTATAATTCCATAATTGGATGACTATAATTCCATAATCCATAAACCACACATCTATAATTGCATAACTATAATTCCATAATTGTAAAACTATTATTCCATAATTGCAAAACCACAATTCCATAATTACAAAACTACACATCCATAAGGGCATAACCACACATACATAATTGCATATCTATGATTCCATAATTGCATGAATATAATTCCATAATTACAAAACCACACATTCATAATTGGATAACTATAATTCCATAATTGTAAAACAATAATTCCATAATTTCAAAACCATAATTCCACAAATACAAAACTACACATCCATAGGTGCATAACCACAACATCCAGAATTGAATATCTACAATTACATAATTGCATAAATATAATTCCATAATTAGAACAGTTTATGTATAATGGGATCTTACCAGGATGAATACCATTGGACCTCCAAAGGATCTGGTAGGAGAGTCTTTGTAAATGTCATATGAATCAATGAAAGACCTGTACGTGTACTTGCACCAATTAAGTCTTGAGATTGCCCGGATGTTGAGCAATGACTTGAGAACTCGATAGTTGGCATATCTTCCAGTATTTCCCCGGAGCAGAGATGAGACAGCAAACACCACAAAGTCTCTCTTGAAGGCATCTCCATGGTCACCTCTCCTGATTATTTCATCAGGCATCTTTGTTGTTATGGGTGACCCTGACTTGACATTCCATCTTTTCCTCCACTCAGTCAGGACCTTATTATATGCAGCTGTAGAATTTTCCTCACTCTTTGTACCTTCCTCAACATCTCTCTTCCCTCGGGGGAGTCCCAAGATGTATTCAACATCCTCTTCACCAACATGTAGATGGTCACCATCCAATATGAAGTCTGATTTGAAAACATCAAACCTTTGCAGAAGATACTCAACAAGTTGTGAGTAATTGCTTGAGAATTGTAGGTGCAGCAGCCCTCCAAAACCCATATCAATCACAGCATCCTTTTGGTCCTGTGTTAGACGTTGGACAAGCTCATACATTTGCTTGGGACCCATTCGTGTACTGAAGTAATCCACATCAGGGTCCTGTACTTTCTCTCGCTTTTGTGGTGGTGCCCTCTTTCTTTTCACAGCTGCTGGTTGTTGCCTTGTCGAAGGCTCTGCTTGATCTTCCTGGGCAGGGGTGAGTAGAGCAGCTTGTGAGCTCAATACTGCTCTGGTTGTTCTCTTTTTTTACAGACTTCACAAATTGACCAAGCGTAGCGTCATCTGCCACAGTTGACTCATCCATTTCTGCAAACAAAAAACATCAAGTGAGGTTCACAGAGTACTATATCCAAAACTTCATAACTACAATTCCATAATCTCATAAGTATACCCACAAGGCAAGTTATGCTAAAAAGGATTTGAATGCAGTTTGGTGCACAGAGTAAGGTTCACAAAGTAATACATCCAAAACTGTATAACTACAATTCCATAAACGCACAATTATACTTCCAAAATTGTACAACTACAATTCCATAAGTATTCCCACAAGGCAAATTATGCTAAAAAG